CATTTTACTATCAATCTATTAAAAAAATATGACATATGTCTATATTTGAAAATAATCAAGCTATACATTTTTTATTTTATCATTAGTGAGAAGTTTTATAGTCACACAATTATTACAATGTATCCAAGACCACAAGTTTTAGAATTCTTTGTTCCATGTAGAGTCAAAGTAAACACGTCTTTAAAGATAAAAAGATATGAGGTTCAAACTTCATCATGTTTCAATTAAGAAAATGCTATTTTTTTTATAATAGATTAAAGAGGAAAGAACGTCACATGAAATAGAAGAAAGAAAGTATTATTTTTAATTGTCTAAGTTTTAGTATATAATTAAAGTACAAATATAAGTATAAGAAACCACAACATATATATATAGATTAACAAGTATTTACCTTTCTGAGAAGTTGAGATTCTAAAAGACAATAATGCTTGTGAGATCTCACCACATCAAGAATTTTTATGAAATCTTGATTAATATTCTCCATTTTGTCATTAGGATTTATCATCTCTTTTTTTCTTCATTTAACTTTATTCTTTCTTCAGCTTCTTATTTGAAAAAATTCAGAATTTTTTTCCTACATAAACATAGCATAATTAAAGATATCAATAATCATATTACCTTTTTGCTGTCAATTTATAATAAAACAATGTGGATATATAATTTCACTCTCATATTGCTATTAGTGAAAATTATAAACACTTGATAGAAATGAAGGATAAAATATGCATTCGAAGAGAGATTATAAATAATCTTACAGACTCTTTGAGAAATAAAGATCGTAACATACAAAGAATTGCTAATTGGAGAATCGTAGTAGCTATGTTGGTTGACTAGCTGAATTTTTAATTTATTGGTGAGGGTTTGACCCTACCTTGTAATCCCCTCCTCCATTTTCTCTTTCTCTAACTCCAATTTTATTTTATTTTTTAAAATAAAGAAGAATTTCTAGTTTGGAAAGTCACCAAAATAGGGAAAATGCATAAGTACCCCCCAGCCTATGCCCAAAATCCTTGAGACACACCTAACCTTTACTAAGGTCCTATTACCCCCCGAACTTATTTTATATATAATTTTCTATCCCCCTTTCGGCCTACGTGGCACTATCTTGTGGGCCCAGCGCGTGTTGACAATTTTTTCTAGGATAGTGCCACGTAGGCCGAAAAGGGGTAGAAAATTAATTAACAAATAAGTTCGGGGGGGGGGGGGGATAGGACCTTAGTAAATGTTAGGTGTGTCTCAGAGATTTTGGGCATAGACGGGGGGGGGGGGGGTACTTATGCATTTTCCCCCAAAAATAATATAAAGTTTTTTCTCTTGGGAGACTTAAGCAATTCGACTTATCAAAATTTATTTTTTCCTTTTTAGGTGTTTTTAAGTGTACCAAAAAAATAGATTTACAACCTAAATTTGGACAATAAACGTAGCCAAAATTAATGAATAATTATTTGGGGCCAATTATCAAAGCTAACAATCAATTAGTGATTTTATAAGAAAAACATGAATTAGCTAGGAAATTTGTTATTAAAAAATATATAGTTAATGGCATTGTTTAACAATTTTTCCCTAAATATTTTAACAATGGAGTTTTGATATTTAGTGATAGTGGTTTTTTTTTTCTGGTAATAGTAAAATGGAATCAAGAACATTTTATTTGGAAATTTTTTTTAAAAAAATTAGTGCATAGTGTACCAATTAGTGATACTTTATTTGTGCTCCAACACCTAAACTTTAGAAAAGATAATATATCTTTGGATATATTTTGTATCTCCTAAGAAATTTTGTTTTTATAAAAACCATCATATAAATGTGGATCAAACAAAACATTAGTGAAAACTCATAATTCTTCAAACATCATAAGTAAAGAATAATTAAAAAGGAAAAAAGGAGGGATTTATGAAAAGGCATAATACATATTTTGGACCTTAAACTTGGCTTCAAATTTTAACTTTGACCTCCAACTTTCATAGTGCACAAACAAGCACTTTAACTATCCAACCTTTTAATAAATAAACACGCGATTTTTGGAGCCAAGAGCGTGAATTGCAAACGCTGCCACGTGTATTAGTGAGCCACTTAATGGCTGCCAACTAATTAAACACTTTACACGTGCATTTTTGAACTAAAAAAATAAATTAATTAATTAAGGGTATAGTTGTCATTTCAGCATTTTTTTTTACTGTTGTAGGCCTCAAAAATCACTCCTACTCGCGCAAAAAATGTGCACATCACGCGTTTTGCCAGGTAAGACACGCGTGTTTATTTATTAAAAGGTTGGATAGTTAAAGTATCTGTTTGTGCACTATGAAAGTTGGAGGTCAAAGTTAAAATTTGAAGCCAAGTTTAAGGTCCAATATATGTATTATCCCTTATGAAAAAGATGGAGTATCCCTTAGTTTGACTTGCTCTGACCAATAATCTCAATAAGTCTTTGTAAGTTTATCTGTCATCAACATATGAATGCACTCACATCATCTTCTTCTTCAGTAATGTCTGATATAGACACTTAGAACGCCTTTTTAAACTTTCATACTCGACCTGACATTCTACATACGAAAATTGAAGAATACATCGATGTCGATCAAGAATGAAATTTGAGAATTTGACAGCCATCATTTTCCAATTTTCTAATCCATGATGTCGCACTGAACCTGCCAACACAATATCTTCTTTAACTTTCTCCATGTTTAAAGAAAAGTTTTGCGTGGTTTTTTTAGAGGAACTAAAACTTCGTGAATTATGATCCAATTTTTTTCTTCTTAAAATAGGCATACCTCGCGTTAATGGGTGGTTATTAGATTTGAATGAATCAAGACCAACTAATGTGAATGTGACAAAAAGAAATAAGTGTTTTCTTTCATTGTCATCTTCTCATAAAAATCGTGATATATAAATTGTATTTACTTTTCTTAAAATAACATATTTTTTTTACGATATAAGTGTTTTAAATTGTTCATTTTTTTCAAGTTGAATTTGAAAATTTTACTCACTTTTTTTTAAAAGAACTTTTCAATTTTATAAAATTGGAAATGAAACAACGGTTTACAAAACACTATTGATGTCAGCTTCCCTCTCTAAGTCTGTAGAAATCTCTATTGATTTACCTGACTCACCACACTCATACTAGGACTAGGAACAAACATATACTGACAAGTATCCGAATATATTGAATGGTCATCATAACCTGAAAACCTCTAACAACAATCCTGATAAGTTTTGACCCGAGTTGTAGATGCCTTGTCCAGAATAATCTCCCTCAGACGCTTGAATAGCTACATGAACATGTACACTGAACTGAGGATGAAAACCCCTCCTTAAAGATCCCCTACCTCGAGATGAGGTACCACTAAAATAACAAGAAGTTCAAGACCTCTTGTCCGTCAAATCCCTAAATTCCTTGAGGCAAATAAGCTCAACCTCCATGGCCACCTCGATTACTCTTTGAAAAGAAGCTCTAGACGAGGTTGTCTAATAAGTTACTACATGGATATGATAAGTCAAACTTCTCATGCATTGACAAATTATTGGTCTTATCTGGCAAAATCACCAAAGCATAGTGAAACAAGGCATGAAATCTTGTCCCAAAATCGATTTGAAATACCATCTTAAGTCAAGTGCTCAAACTAACTCCACTTCTCCTCTTGCAAGTTACAGGGAATGAACCTGTTAGTCTAGTATCGACATCAAACCGCCACCACTTCTTAGATAGGCCACACATGTGAAAAAAATGGTAATCCACTCTGTGGGACTCCACCAACACCACATTTTGTAACGTCTCATGACAACTCACAAGAAAGTCATAACTGTTCTCTTCTTGTCCAATGTGAAACTGAAGTAGATCTATTTTCTAGAACATCTCAAACCTCTTATGCTCCTCGTTAGGCAACATATCTGGGCATAACTCATACACCAACACCCGACGAAGGCATACAATCACATCTAAAAGTTGTTGTTGTGGCTGGATCCTAAAATTTTTGGTTTGGGTGTTAATCACGAATCTATTTTTCTTTCCTGGTCTAAGAATAGTTCAAAGTACCGGGTAACCTATCAGTCTAAGTGATCCCCTTAAGCAAGTTAAATACTCAAACGAGAGTGTGTCGCTATTAAAAAATAGTAAAAAAAGACCTAAAAAGCAGATCGCCTAAAAAAGACCTCATGGGGTCTTTATTCCACAAAACATTTTTTAACTTTTTTTTTTTTAAAGCAAGAGACCTCATGATGTCGTTCAAATCAAAAAGAAAATCCGCCAAATAATAATAGCGACTTGAAGGAAATTGGATTGGGTCACTCATGTGGGTCAATTCGAATCCATGTGAGAAGAATATATATATATATATATATATATATATATATATATATATATATATATATATTAATAAATATAATGAAAATACAACTATTAGAAAAGGGTTCTCATAGGAGAAATTAACGTATCTTTCATTCCCTACAATTTCAAAAGAATCGACACTTCTTTCGCTTATTCTCCTTTTTCCTTCTACAATTCTAGTAAAGTTCGCGTGAAGATTCTTTGAAGTTTTCTTCTTCAAAAAGTGTTGGAACGAACAATTGTAACATGTACGATTTTAGACTGTAGCTTTATATAGTATAGTTCGTATTTATATACATGTGATTGCACTTGAAACTATATTCAATGCTCCTGCAAATTAAGTGTATGATTAGATTCTCCATGACCTTACGAGGTTAATTTTAAATTTCAAAGAAAACATAGCAACCTCATCAGATCTCCAAAGATTTAAAAAAAATTAAAAAAATATATTTAAAAAACAACCTCACGAGGTCTCTATTTATAAAATATTCGTTGATTACTTTGATTAAAAAAAAAGACCTCATTAAAAAACTATTATAAAATATAAAATTCAGGAAAAAACAAAAATACCCCTCGACTATAGAAAAACGTTTAAAAATACCCTCTATCCATATCTTTTAGTATTCTAATACTCCCTTCCATTATCTTTTTTGCTCAGGTTTACACTTTATATATATTTTTTTAAAATATTTATTATATGTATGAAATAAAAACCGCAGATTATTTCCCATTATTTATCGGCACTTCGTCTTCCTCCACCGGTGATGAATTCTGTAGTCTCTCTACCGGCGATGATGTCCGCAGCAGCAGCACCTCCATTGGCGAATTTCACGGCCACAACTGCTTCACGGCCTACAGCCCCCTCGATCCAGTGTAAGTTTCAAAATTCGCTTAATTTTTAAAAAAAAAATCCATGTTAGGTTTTACCTTTTGATGATAAGCTCTAAAACACTTTATTAATTCCTCATTAGGTTCATTAATTATGATTTTATTTTCTACTTTTGCTGCTAATTTTTAATGATACTTCAAATAATCGTGCTTGTTCAATAATTAATGAATTTTTTCAATAATATTAGTTATAATTAAGAAATCGTGTCATTGTGGTAATGTTGTTAAAATAAGTATTGAGATTTTAGTTGAATATTGGGGGAAGAAGTTGAGTGAACTGCTACAATCAGTTTCTAGTTATACTCGCTACTTCGATCTTAATGAAATCATCAGTTTTATGTAAAGGATCGAGAACATTTGTAAAGGGAAAAGAATGTTAACAACATTAAAGTATTGAGGGAACATCGAATGCTCTTTTATGGTTCCGATGATTACTATCTTGTTATTTCGGTGTGGAGATCAGGCAGTTGAGCATATGATAATTGATAGTAGTTGCAGTGCCACCATTATAGGGTCAAGCAGGATTTTTTTTGACTGTTCACTTTGTTTTGTAATTAACTCAATCACACAATATTGTGTATGTTCTCATTGGAAAGTTCTGAAAAATGTACAAAGTTTAATTTTTTTTTGATGTAGTCCCCTAATTTAGTTTACTTGCATGTTGATTCTTCACTTTGAGTCATACAAATTTTGTTTATTGGACCTGTTCATTGGGAAAAAAGTTCATAAATTTTAAGTATGGGTGATTTATAATTAAAAGTTGATACTTACTTACTCTGTCCTATGAATTGGTCTTGCCAACTTTATTGTCTTGTCGATCAAATTTCTATTCCATGTTCCACAATATAAATATGATGGTCTTCTATTAACTATCAACTTTATCATTAAGCAATTGCAAGTTTTATTTTAAATATTAGGTGAAGGTTGCATGATTGTTTGAAAATTTTTGGTATTAGCTTTAGAGCTTGTTTGGTTGACTTTTCATTTTTGACTTATAAGCCAAAAGCTATAGAATTTATGGGTTTTGACCTATTTTTAGCATTTTAGTTTAAAACTAAGTGCTTATAAGCACTTTTTTAACTTATCCAAACACTCCAAAAGTACTTAAGCTATTTTAAGCTTAAAAACACTTTTAAAAAGTCAATCCAAATGGGCTCTAGTCTTTTTTAAGGTAAATGTTTCACTTAGTTGCAAGGCTATTTTCTCCCAAACCATAGACCCTACCCTTTGTCCCTCCTCCACTTCTTTTCTTAAGTATCCTAATGCTACCCACAACCACAGACTCAACATCAACAACATAGAAGGCACACAAGCAGGAGGATACAAACTTGAAATGTCCTTTTTAGCACATGCAACATAAGTCAGCTGAGTGCCTTTCATAATGCTTGTGACAACTATTTTATGTAATAGCTTTTGCTTGCAGTCGTGAAAAGATAACTCTAACTTGAAGCCAATATTCTTTCAAAATGATTCAAGATTAAGTAGAACAAGTTTACAATTTGATTATTAAGATAATGGAAACACCAAGTATTTACAAGTATGTTACATTAGTTTCATGAAGTTGGAGGTTGAGTGAACTTTGAATCATGAAAGTGACCTATTATTGATGTCGCTTTTTAGGTCTCTTTTTCCGGAAAAAAGACCTCATGAGGTCTCCTTTTTAGGTCTCTTTTTACTGTTTTTTTAGTAGCGTAATTAATGAACCAAACTAAACTATCATTTGATTATGTTTTCTTGGATAGACCTGGTTGTAGGTGAGAAAGTATTTCTCATTGAAAATGCACAGTTTCTGTTGGAATACTCCTACTGTATAAGATCATCATGTCAAATCTTGTTGTTGCAGAGTTGTTTTGTTTGTTCTTTCAAAATGGTCTGCTGTTTTCTTCAATGGATATACATAATTATTTCAATTCCTTTTGGCAGGTAGCTTGCTGTTCTATGTTAGACATCACGTTTACTCTCATAAGAAGTATTCCAAAAATGGAATTACCATTAAGTATAGAGATCTCCTGAAGCACATCAGACCAGAAAAGGGATATTCTTCAACGAGTGTTCGAGGCACCATTTATTGTTCAAATCAGAAGGAAAGAGATGTTGGCTTGCCTTCTGATCATATCGCAGTTGGTGCAAAAGTGATATATGCTGCTGCTCCTGCAATGGGTCATAATCAGGTAAAGTAAATCTACTTACCATATGCATTGTCAAGCTAGCTTTGTGATTCCAGGGAATCATTTACTTCATTCTTCTCCTAAAACTGTTGTGGACCCAGCTCATGAGGAGAAACTTTTATCTCTCTTTTTTGATGCCCACCATGAGAGTTAAACTAAAGCTATATATGGTGCTACGGTTTTGATCAAGTGTTTACCTTGCAACCGCTTACGACTTGAGGAGGAATCTACCCAAACTCTAATATCAGAGTTGCAACTAGAAATTTTCTCTTCTTTTACGGCCTAACTTTTTTTTTTGTAGAAGAATCTCCTCAGGGGGTTCGAATTGTTTCAAGTGTCTTGATCAATTTAAATGGCAGTGAAATCTGAAACATAGACCTGTTATATGTCATAAACCTCAAAATATGCTGTCATCAAGTTCATTACAACCTCTATGAACTTCCTATCCAGTTTTGGCTGCCCAAAGGGAGTAGCAATATTTTTTTTCGCCCATTTAATTGCAAAGATTAGCAAATTACTGCCTTTACGGTTATTCTTTTTCTATATTCTCACTGTGTGTCTTTTTCCCACAGTTGTCTTATTGGTTTTCCTACTAAGATATTAGTTTGAGAATTAGGTAGATAATGTTAATATATGTTCCCTAAGAGAAAGTTGTGCTTATTCTGTTCCATGTAGTTGCACATCATTCTGTCGCCTGCATGTGCGAAAAGTAGATATTATTTCCAAGGTTCACTTATCTGCAATTGAACAAAGTTCTTGTAAGAAATGCCTAGATTTTTGTTCTTTGCAAGGTGCCATTTATTCTCTATCAGATGTCCAGAACTCATGTATGCTAAAGTTCTGAATCTCAATTCCAGTGACATTTTAGTTAAATATCCTACAATAGGATCCTTCTCTTTTCAGGTATCATTCCTCCTTCAACATGAAACCTATTTAAATTGAGGGCATGTGCCACTTTTCGGCTGGTTGGAGATTGACAGGTTTTTATTATTAATTTGTCTATGCCTTTCCCTTTCAAAACACATCGTAGACATCTAAATCTTATTGGATCAGTCCATACAATACTTGTGCTAAATCCTAAATTCAAGACACGTTGGATCAAGTCAACATTTTCGGTCAATAAGTTCCAAATTAATCATTTAATTCAAAATTATGTGACTTAAGTGAAATCCAATGTCAAGACCCAAATCTGAAGGGCCGTGACCGCCACTTAGTGAGCATATACCCCACCAAGCAAACCAACTCTCTTAATTATCATTAGGTAAGCAGTCAGAGGAAATGTTCTATTGCTCAATATTCAAAGAATCTAACTTCAAGAATTTTAGTTTCAGGAACTCCGTCTCTCATGCCCCATTGCGCACTGTGATCTGTCTGTCTAAGTTTTCTTCCCCTGGATATGGGTGTTAAATTTGGTGTTAAATTTAATTTGGTTTGATTTGTTTTTTCTGTTTATCTTGAGACTTGAGTACCTCTATTTGTAATGCTGAGCAGCTATGCACGACCAAATAGTTAAAGTTAACATAACGAGACCGGAATGTAGAAGTCGAAAGCTTGATAGTTTTATCTTCTGTTTTAGAGAATACAAAATGTTCTCCAATTTTCTTACCTTTTTTGTTCCAATTCTTTTGGATGTCCTTGTAGGAACTCTTACCTTTATTGCTTGATGTTTCTCTAACAGTAGTTTGCAGCTTTTCTGAGGCATTCTCTCTTTTCCTAGCATGTCTCGTGTGGTTACATTGGACTGACAAATTGTGCCACTGCCATTTCTTGTTCTGTGAGATGCTGCCTGAATCATCTGAATATATTTACTTTGATTCTATTTAAGTGTGATAGTTTGTTGCTTAATATTTTTGTTTAGACTAGATTTCACTTGCAAAATATCTTTGGGTAGAAATGCGCCATTCTATCTTAAACTTTTCACTCCTATGACCTTGCCCCTTAATTTTGCTGGCTAAAGTAGTTGATATACATCTGAGTTTTCAGGTTCCTACAGTGCAAGGATCCTTAATCAAAGTACTTAGTTGGATGTCATAGAACAACTCCTTTTATTTCTACTGATTTTTGTTAATGTTCTGTTGCATGATTTCCTTAGGGTAAGAACTGCGTAAACTTCACCATCCTAACATTTAGCTTAAATCTTTTGTTGATTCTCTTTACTAGGTCTTTGTTTTGGGGAATATCTATTTCTTGGAATTCAGTCACTAAAAATTTTCAGGAATCACATCCAGAATGCAACTCTAGAGTTCCTGCAATTTTGACAACTTTGGAAAAGATGAAACTGACTTCAAAGGTATGCCACAAACACAGCACAATTATTTGTCAATGCTGATTCTTGTGTTTATTGTTTTCACCAGTGATGATAAAAGACAAACACATTGCGTATCTCTTGAGGGGTCATTTGGAATCAGAGATGAGGAAAATAAATTTGGGATAAAATGTGAGATAATTTTATAAAAATTACGCTAGGAAAAGGAAAAATGAAGTCTCCTAAAATCATGCTAATTAATATGTAATCTGTTCCATGAAGTTAAAGCAAAGATGTTGCACATGCCCAACTTGCAAACCGAAGTATGAAAAGTCCTTTTGCTGAGGCCCTATGTAAGCACATACGCTATTTGTTTTCGGACGCTACATGAAACAAACTCAAGGTGCGACTAGTAACTTTCTCTTTGACGAAGTGCCAATCAATTTCATTTTATTTTGTTCAGTCATGTTGAACATGATTCTGAAGCTCTGAGCTATACTGATTGCAACTTTATTGTGGAAGCTAGTAGAAGGCATTGACTCGCTCCATCTATCCATCTGTCTACGGGTTGAAGCTAGTAGGAAAGTGCAATCCCGTGCCATGTATGTCCAACAACTCTCTCCAAAAGTTCCCAGTAAAGTGAGGGTCTCAGTCACTAATGATATGCCTCGCCAAGCCCCAATACTTCAACACATTCTTAAAGAATAGCTTGACAACTTCCTCGGCAACGCAGAGCTTAGTGAGGCGTGCATGAAGATGGGCATACATCGAAAATCTATCCACGACCACTATAATAGTGCATAACCTCTGGACTTCGGCTAACATGTGATAAATTCTTTAGCCTTGCTCTCCCATGGATCTCCGTAACTGGCAATGGTTCCAAAGTTCTCCAGGCTGTTGCTGCTCAACATCCTGTTGACATAAAAGCCAAACCTGCATGTAACATTCAATGTCATCCAGTATGCACGCCGATAGTAAACCGACTAAACCAAGCCTCTTGTGACATTGGCCTGGATCACCATCCCAAATGGTGTCATTACTCTCCTATGATGTGCCACCTAATGACACTCCCATTTCAGCTATTTAGCTAAACCTTGTGTGAGCTACCTCTTATTCTTAAGTGTTAGCAATATACAGGAAGGATTTTATAGGAGCTACCATCCTACGCTAGAGTGAAGCAGTTTCTCCTAGGAACTTATGGGAGATAACTATGAAGTCAGATCCGGTGAATTTTCCTTTGTCATAGGACCTTTACCACTATGGTGATCATAGGAGGGCAAGAGAATTCCTGGTAGAACTCTACCATTTGGGTTTTTTTTGGGGGGGGGGGGGATTTGTGTCTGATTAAAATGTCCAAAACCTTCATGCGCACTAGTAAGATGCATATAGAGATGTTATTAAACACCTATACAACTAATCAAGCTATCTTGTGTTCCAGTTTCGAGGCTCAGATGTTGTTGAAGTGCAGAATTTCAGACCAGCTACAACAGATGACATAGGAAGTGTTCATGCTGGGCCCTATATTTCAGGGCTTGAGAAGGTAGCATAGCCATAAGGTTTGGTAATTCTTCTTATTAATGTTGTTGTACAATAATTCAAAACTTCTCTGGTGGTGTGTTTGATTGATGGAAGTCACTTTTCAGGAAAATGTTTTCCATGATGACAACATTTTGGTTTCTAGAAAATGTTTTCCATCAAAATGAGAAAAATGACTTTCCTCTTATATCGATGCAAGTCATTTCCGAACTTCTATTTACACTTCTAACTTCATGTCTTTTATTGGAGACTATAACATAAATTTTCAACTTTATATTATTTATTTCAAGTAACACCTAGACATTATTGATTTTTACTAGTAAATTTTTGAATCAAGCATTACCTGGTTTGCCAAGATTATTATTAATCCTTAATGGATCTATGTTTTTCTGAAACTATTTTCTACTCACCAATCAAATACTAGAAAACATTTTCTTGAAAAATAGTTACCATTTTAAATGACTTCCATCATACAAACAAACTTTGAATTCGATCTAAAAATTTACATTTCCTTAATATTTTCAATTCATGCGATCATGGATACGGGTTTTTTTTTTAATCCGTAGATAGAGATGATCTCATGCTTGGCATTCCCCTTTTTTTTTTTTTTCAATTTTGGGCTATTGCGTTAAAAGTCATCTATTATTCTGATGTTACATGAAGATTTGGGTTTGAAAAGTCGATATTGGTACGTATTCTACATGGCCGCTTTCACTTTTAGTGGGATTTATTCTATCTTAAAGTAGTATGTGAACCACCCATACCCATATCATTGCCATTCACTAAGAGTGCACCATGAAAGTGAAGAGTCCACATAGTTTAAAACAATGTTTTAATTTGTAATGTCCACATGCGTAGTTTTGTCATATATTGTAAAGAGTCTAGCATAAGGACTTTTTACCTTATTTTTGGAATTTGTTCTTTATAAAAATTGTAACACGTGGAGAAATGGTGGGTTCCCTATTTTTGCTTAGGCCTGCATGTATTTCAAGAGACTATAGGTCCTTCGAGACAACTCTCTTTCATGTGATTTTAGGTTTACCTCGTTCTTTGTTAACACTTTCACTCGCTATGGTTTCACATTCATAAATTGACGTAGGACATGGCTAAACCATCTCAAACGTCATTTCTCTCATTTTATCCTCAATGTGTGTTTTATCTAAATATTCTTAGTTGTAAAAGATTTAGTAACAATACTTTTTATATAATTTTAATTTTAGGAAAATAAGGAAATTGATGAACTGCGATAGAAAATTTAATGGTTGTACTCTCATATTCCTAACTTGTCCATTCCTTCTGAAACTGAGGGAATGTTTTCCACATTATTATTACTTTGCATCATTGTTGTCATCATCCTTAATATTGTTACTATTCCTATTGTTATTTGTGATGTCATTGTAATAATTGTTATCGTTGTTAATATTTATTTATTATTAGTAGTATTATTATCATCATCATCTTTGTCATCGCCGTTGTCACCATTATTTTTTCTCATCCTATGTTCTCTTGATTTGTTGACTATCATCTGCAGGCTATGGATCAAGCTTCAGAGAAAGGTCTAATTTTCATTGATGGATCTGGACCCACATATGCTACTGCCACAGTAAGAATATATCTCTTACGGTAACTCTTCCTCTTTCTGATGCTAGTCTCTATTACTGTCTGGGAGAATAATAACCAGATTTAACTTTATGGTGTTAACACGCATGCATCACATTACGCTTATTTTTCCCTTTTCCCAACTATTTTTGGTGTTTTCTGCTGGGTGTTCGTCAGCCATTGTAACAACCTGTTAGGTCGTTTTGGGTACTATAACTTCTTATTTCATAAAAAATTCTTCCGATAAATTCTAAATGGGTATTTTGGACTATTCGTAACTATAAGTATATAACTAATGGGGTAATTTTAATAATTAATTTAGTCGGTTAAAGAAAATAACATTAAAATTAGTAGTGAGCCATTTTTACCACTTTTATAATTGGTCATGTATAATAATTAGGGTAAGAAATAATCTGTAAAAGAAAGAAAAGTGAAAACTAGGCGAGAAACTTTACCTGCGGCGTCTAACAAGGAAGACCGACATCGAGGTAATGTTTTGAATCTTCAATGTCCTTATTTAATGGTAGGGGGTTAAGTATTATATAATAATATTTCATGGTTAGATATGAATTGAAAGTGGGTGTTAGCGGATGTACTGGGAGTTTGGATTTTGAATAAGAAAGTGAGGGTGATAATGAATTGGTTAATGGACTAATGATTAGCCAATCATTGACTTGATAAATTTGGCTTATAGTAAATGATAAATTTGGGTTAGAGTTGTTGCCACTACTTTTCGAAGCCAATGACTTTAATCTTGAATTTTATTTCGTTGTCATCATATTATAAATTGAGATTTAATATATTGAGATATGTAATTAAATATTAGGTGTATTGTATAATTCGAATATCATTAAAGTGATGATAATTAGAGCAATTGAGACTTATCCTTAGGCTTGAACTTTAGGAAAGTGACTAGATTTGGGTGAGTTTTTGGGTCTAGGCTAGACATATAGTAATATGGGTGTCTATAGACTCGTTTACTTATGAATTATGCATGTTTAATATATTGAAAACATTCAGAGGCATTGAGGAAAGGAAAAGCTTTGGAAAATTAACTTGCACGACTTCGATTCCTCGGTCGAGGTAGGTTATGATTTATTCTATGTGATAGATAGACATAGACTCTTAATAGTGATTGATAATCATTGAGTGATATTGTGAATTTATCTATGTACTTGGTTGTGTGGTTTGGATAATCTGTGTTGTTTGTGATTGGTTTGAAATCCTGAGACCGTGAAATTTATAATCTTGAACCTTCTCTATTGAAGTGATGCCTTGAATAAAGAAGGCTTGATGAAATATTGTTAATGAAGTTAAAAGTGATGATAATAAATGATAAATTAACGATTTATTTGGATCGGGTGCCATGAGCCGGCATGATGTTATTGGATCGGGTGTCACGTTCTGGCAAGACAACATTAAAGGAAAACATATATAAACAACGTAATGTACTAAAAAAAAAATAACGTAATGTACTCAGTCTCAAAATAGAAAGAAAAGAAACTAATAGGCAACGAGTAATAGTATAAAATCAACTATGACAATTAGTAGGTGGCAAGCAACAACCAACATGAACAAGTGACAACAACACTAAAGTAAGTATGTAATCAGTCAACAATATCAAGAGCACACATGGGGACTCATGCCTCCAAACTAAGCTATTTTAGGAATTGAGTTCTTTGAGATTGAGTACATTACATTATTTATATATGTTTTCCTTTAATGTTGCCGTGCCAGAACGTGACACCCAATCCAATAACATCGTGCCGGCTCGTGGCACCCGATCCAAATATATCATTAATTTATCATTTATTATCACAACTTTTCACTTCATTAACAATATTTCATCAGACCTTCTTTATTCAAGGCATCACTTTGATAGAGAAAGTTCAAGATTATAAATTTCACGGTCTCGGGATTTCAGACCAATCACAAACAACACACAGATTGTCCAAACCACACAATCAAGTACATAAAGAAATTCACAATATCACTCATTGATTATCAATCACTATTAAGAGTCTATCTATCGCATAGAATAAACCCTAATCTACCTCTACCGAGAAATCGAAGTCGAGCAAGCTAATTCTTCAAAACTTTTCCTTTCTTCAATGCCTTCTAACATTTTCAATCTATTAAACATGCATAATTCATAAGTAAACGAGTCTATAGACACCCATATTACTATATGTCTAGCCTAGACCCAAAAACTCACCCAAATCTATAGTCACTTTCCTAAAGTTCAAGCCTAAGGATAAGTCTCAATTGCTCTAATTATCATCACTTTAATGATATTCGAATTATACAATACACCTAATATTTAATTTACATATCTCAATATATTAAAACTCAATTTATGATATGATGACAACGTAATAAAATTCAAGATTAAAGCCACTGACTTTGAAAACTAGTGACAACAACTCTGACCCAAGTTTATCATATACTATAAGCCAAATTTATCATATCATCAGCCAATGATTGACTAATCATTAATCCATCAACTAATTCATTATCACCCTCACTTTCTTATTCAAAATCCAAACTCCCAGCATATCCGCTAACACCCACTTTTCAATTCATATCTAACCATGAAATATTATTATATAATATTTAACCCCCTACCATTAAATAAGGACATTGAAGATTCAAAACATTACCTCGATGTCGGTCTTCCTTGTTAGACGACGCAGGTAAAGTTTCTCGCCTAGTTTTCTTTCGTCTTTCTTTTATAGATTATTTATTTATCCTAATTATTATACACGACCAATTATAAAACTGATAAAAATGGCTCACTACTAATTTTAATGTTATTTTCTTTATCCCCCGACTAAATTAATTATTAAAATTACCTCATTAGTTATATAAATAACTATAGTTACAAATAGTCCAAAATACCATTTAGAATTTATCGGAAGAGTCTTTTATGAAATAAGAAGCTATAGTACCCAAAACGACCTAATGGGTCTTTTATGAATAGTAATGTCATATTCTTTCAGTAACTCCATCCACCTCCTTTGCCTCAAATTCAAGTCCTTCTGAGTGAACACATATTGTAAACTACGATGATCTGTATACACTCCACACTTGACCCCATGTAGATAATGCCTCCACTGCTTCAATGCAAATACAACTGCAGTCAAATCCAAATCATGGGTCGGATAGTTACGTTCGTGCACTTTCAATTGCCTTGAAGCATAGGCAAATACATTACTCTCCTGCATTAGCACTGCACCTAAACCAATATAATATGCATCACAATAAACAATGAAATTCTTACCTTCCACAGGCAAGGCAAGAATCCGTGCAGTAGTCAACAAGGTCTTGAGTTTTAGGAAGCTCTCTTCACACTCATCCGACCATACAAAGGGAACATTCTGCTTGGTCAGAGCAATGGAAGAAAATCCCTTAACGAACCGACGGTAGTAGCTAGCTAAACCAACGAAACTCCTTACCTCTGAAACATTAGTAGGCCTTACCCAACTCTTCACTGCTTCGATTTTAGTGGGATCCACCATCACTCCATCCTTAGAAACCATGTGCCCCAAGAAGGACACTGAATTGAGCCAAAGCTCACACTTGGAGAATTTGGTATAAAGCCTTTTCTCTCTTAACAACCCCAAAACAATTCTCAAATGCTCTTCATGTTCTTTCCTGCTCTTGGAGCAGATCAGTATTATCATCAATAAATACAATAACGAAGAGATCCAAATATGGCTTAAAAATTCTATTCATCAGGCTTATGAAAGCAGCAGGGGCATTCGTAAGCCCAAAAGACATTACTAAGAACTCATAATGTCCATACCTTGTTCGAAAAGCAGTCTTTGGCACATCCATTGCTCGTATTTTTAGTTGATGATAACCGTACCTCAAATCAATTTTTGAGAACACACAAGCACCCTGTAACTGATCAAACAAGTCATTAATGCGAGGAATGGGGTACTTGTTCTTAGTAGTCACCTTATTCAACTGCCTGTAGTCTATGCACATTCAAAAACTACCATCCTTCTTCACAAATAAAATTGGGGCACTCGGTCTAATAAAACCTTTACCTAACAACTCCTGAAGTTGGGCCTTGAACTCTCTCAACTCAGCTGGGGCCATTCTATAAGGGGAATGGAAATGGGTGAGTCCCCAGCTCCAGGTCAATACAAAAATCAATATCCCTATCAATTGGCATACTAGATAGGTCTGCAGGAAAAACATCCACAAACTCACGAACTATCAAAACAGTTTCGATCGAAGGCATTTTGGAAGTATCATCCCTGAGATGTGCCAAGAAAGCTGGACAACCCTTACTCACCAACCTCTTAGCACGAAGAAAAGAGATAATATGAACTGGGGCGGGAATATAGTCACCCTCTCATACCAGCGGATCTATCCCAAGCTTGGCCAAAGTTACAGTCTTAGCATTACAATCTAAGATAGTAAAATTTGGAGAAAGCCAAGTCATACCCAGAATTACGTAGAAATCAACCATCTCCAAAATAATCAAATCTACATAAGTTTTGTTCCCCACAAAAGTCATAAGGCAAGACCTATACACCTTCTCAACTAACACAAACTCACCAACATGAGTATGTATAGACACGAATAGGCATGTCAAGCAGTCACAATGCAAATCAAGTCCATTAGCTTATAAGGAAGATACATAAGAAAATGTGGATCCAGGATCAAACAATATAGAAGCCATGCGATCACAGACCAGAAGAGTACCTGTGATAACAACATTGGATGCCTTTGCCTCTGGCTTCCCGGGAAAGCATAACAATGGGCTTATCACATGTCTATCCATTGCCTCTATCGGGCTGCGCTACAGTAGTTCCAACCTGCCCGCCACCTCGACCGAACTGGTGACCACCATTATTTTGGCCACCACGTCCTCCTGAATGATGACCTCTACCATGACCACCCCTACCTCTAACTGCTGGAGATTTGTAACTCTGATCATACCGAGCCTGACTCTGCCTCAGACAGTATTTCTTGATATGCTAGCCTCACCACACCCATGGCAAGTCCTGGAGTCGAGAGTTTGTCTCTGTG